AGCCTTCGTCCTAGGCCAGTGATGGCGAACCTGTGACATGCGTGTCAGAGGTGACACGCGAACTCATTTTTTTGGTTGATTTTTGTTAAATGGCATTTAAATATATAAAATAAATATCAAAAATATAAATCTTTGTTTTACTATGGTTGCAAATATCAAAAAATTTCTATATGTGACACGGCACCAGAGTTAAGTTAGGGTTTTTCAAAATGCTGACACGCCGAGCTCAAAAGGTTCCCCATCACTGTCCTAGACCCTGAGCAGCCAGGCAGTGGAAGCTCCCTCCGAGCCGGGCGCCGACCTTCTGCTGCTCTCACCCCGGGAACGGGCATCTCTCCTGGGGCTGCTCTCTGGGTGGGCCGTGCCCCGACTTCACACGAAAACCACTGCCTCTCATTGGACATTAAAACCTGCGCCTCCCTGAGGCTTCTCCATGCCCGTGGCCGTCCCTCCATGAGCCGGGGACCAGGTGATCCAATCCACATCCCCACTGCAGCCCTGTCTTCTTTCCTCTGGCTCCCACGCTCTCCCGGGGCTCCTCGCCCACGCTGTGCTCCCTGTATTCCCATGGCCATGGCTTGGAGGCGAAGGTGGGAAGGCAGACTGTCCCTGGCCTACAAAAGTGAGAAAGAAAGATTTCCCCTAGAAATGGGGTCAGCTAACGTGTTCTGTAAAGGTCCAGGCAGTAACTATGTTAGTCTTTGCAGGCCATACCGTCTCTGCTGTAACTAGTTATGTAGCCACAGTGCTTCATAACAAGGGAGTGAGGCTGTGTTCCAATAAAACTTTATTTACAAAACAGGCTGCCTTTGGCCTGAAGGCTGCAGTTTGTGGCCCCCTGTCCTAGACCACCCCTAAAACAGCCTGGCTCCTCTCCGTGGGCCCAGCGCTCGGTTCGCACCTCCCACGCTGCGCTCTGGAAATGTACCCTGTTGACCTGTCTGTGGCCCCCGTGGCTCCTGGGACAGAGACTCTGTGTCCCTGGTGGCAGCACAGTACAGGTTTCCAGTATCTATTTGGGGAGAAAGTGTGTGTGTGGCGAGGGGGGAGATGATGTTTCCAGCAGGCAACCCTCACCGAGCATTTCCAGCCTCTTGGCGGAGAGCTGCAGGGTCCACGTGGGAAAAGAAGTCTGTGCTGCCGACAAGCAGCACCAGAAGCACCATTGTAAGCAGCCTGGCTTACAGTGTCAGTCCTTGTTACAGTGCAAACCCATGGATACGTTTTGACGTCAGGGCTACACCCCAGAAACAGCGCCTCCAGAACCGCCCGCAGACAGGCTGCTCCCGCCCTCTGGGGAGCCCTGCCCGTCACAGCCCCACCACCATTCCCTTCGGCCTCCTTCTGCGAGGAGGAGAGACCCTGCGGCCAGCCGGAGAGAAAACCTAAGTGTCCCTCTAGGCCTGTGCAGCACCATTAGGTGACGTCAACGGCTCAGGGCATCTGGGCTCTGTGTTTCCACTGTTCTCAGAACAGCGGCTAATTCATGGCAGTAATGACGTTTCTATTTAGAGCCTCAGAATATAAGAGGTGGTCCCTCGATGCTGCACCCTGAGTCCTGTGCTACGGGCTTGCCTGCTTTCCCTGTGAAGCAGGGAGCTTACAGGTGGCAGGAGGAATGCAATTCCACTCAAGCTAACCAACAGTCTGAGGGCCTACTATGTGCCAGGCAGCATGTGCAAACAAAACAAGCACATCCCAGGGACCCCACAGGGAAAGAGGGCAGTCAGGCACCCAAATAGCCATGATGATGGTGGGAATGATGCACAGCAAAGCAGGTACTTTGGGGCTTGAGGATGGAGATGTTTCTTGGCGGGACCACGAAGGCCTGGAGAATTTGGGCACATGAAACTGCAGGGAGCCTGGGTGGCCCATTCATGAGGTGAGAAAGAGAGGAGGGAGGAGGAGAGGGCTCGGCTGGTGGGGAAGCTGTGCTTGGCTGCCGACATGAATTGTACTTGGCCCTTTCTGGCAGGGACATTCTGTAGCGCAGCTTCACCGCCCAGGCAGGTGGGTGTGCGGGGCTTGGCTTCAGTAGTTTGTAAAGAGCCGCCATGATTTCCTGTGCTTCTCCCTCTTCCTGGGTCACCTCCCACATGATCCCATTCCTCCTCCTGGGATGTCTAAACTTTGCTGTTGAGAGGATTTTTTTTTCCTATGAAAGTTAATTCCCTTCCTTTTCCCAGAGGTCTCCAAGGCCTTGCCTCTTTGCGTGACTTTGTGAAAATTTCCTGGTTCCAGATAAAATTCTTAGTGCCTAAGAAGGCATTTTTATGTTGCACTAAATTTTATGAAAAAGCACATGATTACTTTGGCTATTCTAGAATATTTTACTAGAATAGTCAAATGAATCTTGAGGAGGAAGAATAAAGCTGGAGGCATCATACTTTCTGATTTCAAGCTATATTACAAAACTATAGAATCAAAACAGTATGGTATTGGCATAAAAACACAGAAATCAATGGAAAAGAATAGAGTGCCCATAAGTAAACTCACATATATATGATCAATTAATTTATGACAAAGGAGCCAAGAATATGCAATGGAGAAAAGTAGTCTCTTCAATAAATCGTGTTGGGAAAATTGGTCAGCCACATGCAAAAGAATGAAACTGGACCACTATCTTAACCATACACAAAGTCAACTCCAATGGATTAAAGACTTGAACATAAGACCTATAAAACTATAAAACTATAGAAACTCTAAAACTCATAGAAGAAAACACAGAACAGAAACTCCTTTACGTTGGTCTCGGTGATGATTTTTTTGAATGTGATACCCAAATCACAGACAAAAGCAAAAATAAATAAATGGGACTACACCAAACTAAAAAGCCTCTGCACAGCAAAGGAAACCATCAACAACATGAAAAGAAAATCTACTACCACATGGGGAAAAATTTTTCAAATAATTTATCTGGTAAAGGGTTAATAGACAAAGTATGTAAAAAAACCTCATAAAACTCAATAGCAAAAATAAAGCCCCAAACAATCTGATTAAACAATGGCCAGAGGATCTGAATAGAGCTGACCCTTGAGCAACAAAGGGGTTAGAAGTGCCACCACCTGCACAGTGAAAAACTTATGTATAAATTAAACCAGCCCCCCACATACGTGCATTCCCAACCAGAGGTGAAAAAACATTAGACATTTTTCCTCAAAGACATACAAACGGCCAACTGGTACATGAAAAGGTGTTCCACACCACTGATCATCAGGCAAATGCAAATGAAAACTACGAGATACCAACTCATACCCGTTAAAATGGCTACTAAGACACTTCTTGTCAAAAGGACAAGAAATAACAAGTGCTGGCGAGGATGTGGGGAAACGGTAACTGTTGGTAAGAATGTAAGCTGGTGCAGCCACTACGGGAAACAATAGGGAGGTTCCTCAAAAAGTTAAAAATAGAACTACGATATGATCCAGCAATTCCACTGCTGGGGATTTATCCAAAGGAAACGGTAAATGTTCATCGCAGCATGACTTACAATATCAAAGACACAGAAATAACCCACGTGTCCGCCAACAGATGGCTAAAGAAAATGTAGTATATATATGTGCATACACACCCACACATACACAGCGAGTCCTCACTTAACATTGCTGATAGGTTCTGCAACTTTAAGGGGAACAACATCTAACAAAACAAATTTTACCATCGGCTAATTGAGAGAAACAGCAGCTAAGCTCCTGTGGTGTCTCAGCAACATTATCATGAAACAACGTTGAACAAAACAACATTATTCAAGGACCTGTACACATAATAAATATTATTTTGCCATAACATAGAAGGAAATCTTGCCACTTGCAACAACATGGATGGACATTGAGGACTAAGTGAAATGAGTCACAGAAAGACAAATATCATATAACTTACATGTGGAATCTAAAAAAAATAAAAAACTGAACTCATAGATACAGAGAATAGATTGGTGGTTTCCAGAGGTGGGTGGCGGATGAAATGGGTGAAGATCAGAAGGTACAAACTTCGACAGTAGGTATTTAAAGTTCTCATCACAAGAATAAAACTTGTAACTACACGTGGTGAAAACCGCTAACTAGGGGATCATTCCGCAATCTACTCAAATGTCCACGGGGACCTTCAGGGAGCCGGTCTCCAACTGACAGCCCTGCACAGGCTCCTTGCTCAGCCCCACTTCCCTTTGGGGAACCCCCTCCGCACTGGGAGGAGCCCAGGCACTTCTTTACCTGGCCAGGCTTCACCTTCTGATCCCACATTTGACAAGCCCCCAACACGTCCCACTAAAATGGATTATGCCCCAAAGTCCTTCATTTCCTTTAGCTATATGGTCCCTCCTTTTAAAGTCCTCATCTATGTCAAAGGCTACATTGTATGTTTCCAAAACTAGATAATGAGTGATTGTTGAGTACTTTTCAATCAACAAACTTTAAAGCATGAAGTGAAAATACACATAATCCAGGATTAGAAGCATAAATCAAAAAGAAAAAAATACCAATGTTGTCCTCTATGATAAAGGTCTCTACAAAGGAAGGTTCTTAAAAAAGCAACTGATTAAAATTCTTTTACTGCAGAAGAACACTCAAATGGATTGTTCTGCATGATGTAATGGTTTTTTAAAAAAATCACAGTACTAACTTGGAATGATTCTTGTTTTTGATATAAACTTGTAGGGGTGAAATGTTCAAACGCAGAGATACTTTTTATTTGCTTAAGAAATTAAGATAGAAAAACAGAACAGTCTTTACTTGGAGGAAGAATTTTTTGCCTTCACAAAAGGTATTAGTCTCGAGTTGCACAGCCAAGTGTTAATCCTAACTGATGTGCATCACTAAGACGGTAGCACAGGCTTGCAGGGGAATATTTTTTTACTATCTGCCAAAGGAGCCTAATTTTCCCCAAAACCTTCTTAATTGGCAACGACAATAAGAAATGGAGAAAGACAAGCAGAGAGCAGTGGTGAGAATGTAATGCGTGGTCAAGCTGACAGAGCAAATGAAGCAAGCTGGGTACCGTACCTGCTTATTATTGTCAGTGGTACAACACAGTTTCTTGAGGGAGACAAAATGCCTAATTTTCCTAATAACATAAATAATTAGTTATTAGTGAGTCAGATATAAGATGATTCAACAAATCAGCAAAGGAAAACATCAACAGAAACTTTTTAAAGCAAAACTCCAGGGTCTATTCTAGGGCAGATGTACAATTCAAACAAAACCCAGTCTACAGAAAATGCATTTTCACACACAGCCCACACACGCCTTCCGAAACGGGGCTTCCCTTTTAATCACCGCTGGCTCCGAGACATTTTCCGAATGAGCATTTCATTTTGTGACTGACTCCTGAAGCTTGGCTCCTCCGTATCTGCCGTGATAGGATGAAATGCCACTCCAGAAAAAATTGGCTTTATTCTGCTGACGCTAATACTTTTATAGCTTATATAGAAAGCAAAAGACTCATTTGGACAATGATCAAATTTCAGGGCAGCTATTTTTATATTTAATTCCATATTCCTGCACAGCATGGTCATCATAACAATGGCATTTTTTGGGCAGAGAAAAATCCTCTTACTTCAAGGTCATGGACAGAATCCCACAACAGCCTGCGGTCTTGCTCATTACCATGGAACAGACCAGGAGAAGACCACAGGTGCCTCAGCCCTGCACAGACTTCAGCTCAGGGTAGATTTTCTACGGAGAGTGAAGCCAGGAATCCCAGAGGGCTGTGTTAGATTTCACAGCAGTGAGACTCCTCTCCTCTCTCCCTGTCTCTGTCTCTCTTTGTCTCTGTCTCTGTCTCTCTCTCTCTCTCTCTCTCTGGTTTAGTTTTCTCTGGAGAACTCTGAGGAGAGCATAGAAAACGCTGGTTATCCTGTAATGAATGTCATAAAACAGGAAGAGGTAAAAATATCTCCCTACTTTTAATAAGAATTTCCTCTGACAGTTCACTGCCTACAATGGGGTGGGGGTGGGGGGTCGGAATGACACTGTCTGGACAAAAGAACGTCTCTTTCTTATCTGTAAAATCAGAAAGATCAGAAAACCTCATTCTGACAGACATTTCCAAGCAGTGGCATGTCTCCTCGGCCTTGGTTACCTAATAATCCTGGTCACACACACACAAAGTGGATGTTAGCTTCAATTTTCTGAAAGAGGGCATCAGGATGATGGTAACACCAGGGGCTGCTGGGAGGGCCACAGAGGACCGTGGGCTCAGGGGAACGCCTGGGGGCCTCTCTCTGCGGTCAGGGGGGGCCACGGACTGCCCGTCACCCCACCACCCACACTGAAGCACGAGACAAGAAGCACGAGGTGGTGGTCTCTGAACTGAGGGGAGCACTTTTGAAACTAACCCAGGAAATTGGAGGGGAGACAACCTGGTGACACTTGGCTGACTTTATAGACTGTCGTTGTCTAGTCGCACAACAAGCTGCAAGGGACTGGGGCAGTCAGAGGGGCACAAGCAGGACTCGCCTCTCTCTTATCGGCACCATAACTGCCACCTTTCCTTTTCCCAAAACTTCACACAACGGTGCGCATCCCTTAGACTCTGAAGCTGGTGCGACCCCCAGGCTGGCTTCCAAAAGCTCCTCAGGGACATGCTGGTGGGGGAGCCAGTTTGGCTTCGTAAACCTCACAGAATTCAACTGGGGGGAGGAAAGGAATCGCGTATTCGCCTTCTCTCTCCACAGTGATAAGGCTTCTCTGGTAATCTGAGATTAAATGGAATCAGATCAACCTCAGCTTTGGATCAGACACATCTTTCTCTCTGAAACCATGACCCCCAGGCCTTTATCCGAGCTGGAGCAGCCCTGAGCCAGCTGGAGAAAGCCAGCCCAGGCCGGTGCCCCAGGGAGAGCAGCCCGCTCCCAGGGGTTTTGCTGTTGACGTGAAGGTGGACAGCCTAGCAACCGAGCTCCCTCAGAGGGCAGTGGGCAGAGGGAATCACAGATGCTCAGGTGGAGGGGCTCCTGGGTGATGCTCCATAAAGACCATAAGCAGGAGAAGACAGAGAGCCATGTCTGGGGGTTGCTACCAGATGCATGGAGGTGGCCTTGGCATACCTATGTACAGCCCAGCCCTCCTGTGCTTGTGGGTCTAACGCTTACCCTGCAGTTCAATATGCCCACGCGGCCCTCAACTGAAAGAGTTCAAGAGTTTGCGCTCACCCTCCTTGGCCAATCACTGGGGTGATCTTCACGTGCTGTTGGATGCTGTCCCCGGACTTCCGCTTGGCGTAGTAAACCCCTTGCCACTCCTACGTGGAGAAAGAGAGCTCTTAAAGTCCTTCTGTGGAGGCCAGCAGCTGCTCCTACAGGGGTCTTATCCAGCTGAGCCACTGATTCCCACGCGCTTTCAGTACATTCCACAGAACACCACTCCATTCTCGCTCCCGCAGCGATGCTGCCTGTGTAAGGCGCGTGGTCACAAGGCATGAACACAATAGGACCAACGCAGCCACCACCAGGCTGCCCTCCTGGGCCCCAGGACGCCTGACCTGTGGGAGGAGCTCCTGCTCAGCCCCACGGGTGTAGTGACACCAGGTGAAGGGATTTTTCCGAGGTCTTCCTCAAACTCGTCCCAACAACCCGAGTCTGAAATTATCCTTCATTGACACATGGGCAAACTGAGGCTGGGAGATTCTAACTACTGTGCCCATGTGAGAAAGTGGGGGATGTGGCAATGAAGCCCTCCACCTGTCCACTATCTATGGGGCCTCCAGCCACGACTTCTCTGGGTTAGTCTGGCTCCTGGCACTTTCCATGGAAGAGGCAAACGGGGGTGTGGAGATCCTGTCTTTGGACCTTGGGGAACTGGCTGGGATGAGAACCTGGTGACCTCAAGGGGGACCTGTGGCACCTCTGCGATTTCTGGGAGGAGTGGTTACGTCGGAAGCTGGGCCTTTTCTCTGCAGCCTTTTCCTGCCCCCCCCCCCCGCCCTCGCCCCACAGGTGGCTCACCGGCACGCATGTCGGGCCACCATGGGGCAATATTCTGGCGGGTATTTTAGATGACTTGCCAATGTCCTGCTTCTTTCTCATTCCCACTGCCCCAATTTTTAAAACATTAATTCTGGGCATCATATATAATCCAAACTACTTTATGTTTGTACAATGGCCCCCCATGAAATGAAAACAATGGTCATCTAACTACTTCAGATCCGAGAAAGCAAGATGAAAGCAATAACACGTGAGAAAGCACCCTGAGTGCTCAGGAGAAAATGCGAGGCAGTTCTGGCTGGGACAGCAACGTGCCCAGGGGGAGGGCTCGAGGGAAGATGCTGCTGCGTTTGCACCACTGCCCTCGTCTACGGAGACCAATGGGTGCAGCAGGGAAATGGAAGCCATCTCTCTATGAATTGGGGTGATAGAAAACAGGAAAAGGACAACTGGGCCTACGTGTGAACACTGACACTAAATACATCTAGTCCCCCAAACACTGGATAAGCTGACACATATCAGCTCTATGGGCGGGATCGGCACGAATGATATTCCAGGAATGTCAGGTGGGGCATATTCATGCAAACGATGATGTTTCCTTAGACAAAACTGCCAGATTCTGTAGTGTCATCATAAGCCCCAGATTTGCTGGATATCCAAAATTAACTCATTTTGCAAACACAAACATGTTTCATTTAATTATAACATCACGAAAGAAGCCAATCTTTACGATGTGACATAAAAACCCACAGTAGAGGCGAGTGCGTTGGGGAGGCGTGTGCGGGCTGTGTGTCACCCACCTTGCCCTTCCTGATGCACGTGTTGATGGTGTCGAGGAGGTCTGCCCGGTTCTTATCGCTTTTGGGCAGCTCCGCGAGTTCTCTCCCGAGCAGCTCGTTCTTGTGGTAGCCCATCATCCTTTCGAAGGCTGGGTTGACATACTGTGAACGGAAGTGGGCAGAGGTCAGTTCGGGGATGCCTGGAGGAAAGCCTGCTGGGGTGCAGGGGACCTGCTGGAAGAGCCCGTCAGGACCATCTCAAAACCCACACACAGAGATCATCTCAGTTCCCTCACATACAACATGCTCCGGTCCACGTCTTCCTCCTCGCTCTTGTGTTATCCTCAGAGGGCTGGTAGGTTTTTAAAGGGGCCTGACAGGGTCCCCCCCAAAAAACTGCAGTCAGTATAGTCTCCCCTGTCCAGGCGCCCACCGTCCTCAGCCCTTTTGGTCCTGCTCACGGCAAAGGCCGGGAGGTGATTGACATCGTGTTGACAGCATCACCGTGTTACCTCTCCCGGAGGCACAGGGTTTCCCGCCCCAGGTGCCCACTGTGGATGAAGGACGCTATGAAAGCGCCATCTGTTAGGTTACAAGTGGGGAAGGTGAATAGAGAGCAGGGAGCCCCTTCTCCTTATTACTGAGGTCACCCCCGGCTGCCCACTGTAAACAGGGAGGTGCAAAGCGAATGTGCTTCATGAAGAGACCTGACTGTTCAAGTCTGGAAACAGGTGGAGGGGGTGCTTGGTCTAGAGCAGAAACGGCCAATGAGATGAGGACGCTTTCAGATCCATTTCAAGAAACACTCCCTTACATTCAGCCAAACAGGACACCACATGGAAAGGCTTTGGAGTCAGAAAGACAGGGCTACCTATTTTGCTTCTCCTATTTATGACCACAGCTTTCCTTGGGTAAGTTCCTGACCTTGCTGGTCCTCAGTTTCCCCATCTGTATAATGGGGCACTTGTGTCTCTTTCATAGGGTTACTGCATGGAAATGAGATACCTTATGAACATGACGACGACCGGCCTAGGTGTGGTGGGTGCTGATGTCATTGGTTCGGTATGAGAGCAGGTGTGTCTGTGTGTGCAGTGGGGCGTATGCAGGAGAGCAAATGTGGGCTCTGTCTGCCGTGGATCCCCTGTGCTGAACACTGACTTTGGTCTCTACAGAGGAGAGTACGTGTTCCTCACACTCAGTGCCCCTACGCAAACCAGGTGTGGCCATCAGAGGAAAGCCTGCATTTCAGTGTGTTTTAAGTATACATGCCTTACTTTCCAACAAATACAACAATGTAATTTCAACGAAGGCTTGTCTACTAACTATACACACTTCCTTAGGAAGCTGATTTTAGTCCATTAGAGTGCCTTATTAGAATACCAACTATAAATAAGTGAACACCCTTGAAAATATTTTGTTCCCAAAAGAAACAGATTCCTAGATACAGAGGGCAAACTGGTGGCTGCCAGATGGGAGGGAGGCTGGGGACTGGGTGAAAAAGGTGAAGGATTAAGTACAGATTGGGCCCTAACTGGTTTGGCTCAGTGGATAGAACTTCAGCCTGCGGACTGAAAGGTCCCAGGTTCGATTCTGGTCAAGGGCACATGCCCAGGTTGCAGGCTGGATCCCCAGTAGGGGGCAGGCAGGAGGCAGCCAATCAATGATTCTATCTCATCGTTGATGTTTCTATCTCTCTCTCCCTCTCTCTTCCTCTCTGAAATCAATAAAAAATATTTTAAAAAATAAGTACAGATTGGTAGTTAAAACCAACACAGGGATTAACGTACAGCATAGGGAATTTAGTAATGTTGTAATATCTGTATATAATGTCAGGTGGTAGTACACTTATGGGGGATCACTTCGTACATTATATAAATATCTAACAACTATGCTGTACACCTGACACTAATATAAAATATAAGTGTCAACTGTAACTGACAAATTAAAAAAGAAAATATTTTGTTCCCATAAGCACTTATAAGCCTTTACTCTACAATTCTGATACACTTCTGTGTAAATGCTATCTTCACAGATGGTCCAAAGAATTTAGTACACCTCTGTCAAAGAAATTACAGGCTCTGATTTGAATATAATCTTATTCTTATTAAATATCTAATTCTTAGCTTAAGTCTATAAGGTTTTTTAAAAAAATTAAAATAAAATCTTTATTGTTGAAAGTATTACATATGTCCCCTTTATTCTCCTATTGACCCCTGGGAAACAGCCCACACTCTCAGTTTTCTTTGAATACTTTGGTGTTCCTTTCTCCAAAGAAAATGTGCTAAAGTGTAAGAATTAAAGGAAAGTGCTTGAAAAAGGGTGGCTCAAACTTAAAAGGTTCTACTTTGACATCTAAAGATAAAAAATGTCCCCGTACCTGAATCACATGCTCATCGCTTGTTATTTCTATGGCTTCATGACAGTGGTCTAATGCTGTAAACACTGAATTACAGGCCCTGGAAGTTGCAAAAGATCGATGTTAGTTCTACCGTAAAACCATCAGCACTTCATCTGTTAGTTTATCAAAGTAAACAGGTCCTCGGGTTCATTGAAGCAACGTACCTTCCGATACTGCTTTGAGAAAAAAAACAAAAACCTAGGCTTTCAAACTAAATGAATCAACAGCAGCATATATTTTCATGTATGTGATACAAAGAGAAGAATTATAACCAGCAAAATATTCATGGGTCACAAAATGAACTACAGCCCGGCTGGCGTGGCTCAGTGGTTGAGCATCGACCCATGCACCAAGAGGTCACCGGTTTGATTCCTGGTCAGGGCACATGCCTGGGTTTCAGGCTCCATCCCAAGTGGGGGAGGAGAAGGGGGCCGAGTGCAGGAGGCAACCTATTGATGTTAATGCATCGATGTTTCTGTCTCCCTCTCCCTAAAACAAAAAATATATATTTAAAAAAATAAAATGAATTACCTACATGCTGAATGAAACCTTAGCACTGACACAGGGGAACGAAGGTGCAAGGGACCATCTTCTAGGTCCCGCTGTTCTACACCCAGGATGCTCTCCCTGACCACGCTGCCATCCGTTAAGAAAACCCACTTACGCCCCAACTGGATCTGAGGTATTCTGTCCTCCTGCAATAGGCACAAACACTTTATCCCCCTTTTTGTGACCTCAAATAAACAAGCCTTTCTCGTGCTTTGCTTTCACCCACGCCCGCCGGCCCGCTGCAAGGCAGACATGGCGGGCTGCCCCTCGCCTGGGCAACTGCACAGCTCTCGAGGGGGCAGTTTTCTGGGTGACCTTGGCTAGTTATCTGGAATATCTGAAATCATTTCAATTTCTCAATTCTTGGAAGAAACTTTAACTCTTCCAAATCTAGAGCAACTCCAAATACAGTAAGTTACTATCTAACAGCAAGTATGTAACGAGTTCCTAAAGTTCTGTTATTTGCACGGGCTGTTTAAAGAATACCAGTGACGGCTTTCTTACCCATGACATAAAAGATGCTGATTTACTGGATGGATGTTTTGTAAAACAAACTTTAAAAATGTTATTCATTTTTTCCACTCATAATGGCGTCTAACGCTGCCATCCTGTTCTGAACTGTTTACCAGGCATAGGGCAGAACAGAGCGGGTGAAATCTGGTTCCGTGTTTTGCCAGGTCTAGGACCTTGGAGAACCTTTTATCTTGGCTGACTCTCCGTTTCCTCATCTATAACGTGAGGAAAACAACACATATTTTATAGGTTGTTATAAGAATCAGAACAGTTTCGTGAGGCATCTCTCAAAGTACGTGGGACAATATAAGAATTCAACATATGGCACTTGTTATTCTTTGTAAGATCCCACAGTCAGATTTCTTTGTTCTCTAAGGCTTTCAAAGGCGGTTGGTGAAAGGTGAATCATAACCTATCTTTTCTCACCATTATCCCTGAAATCTCAAACCAAGCACAGAAATAACAAACCAATACCAAACAAGGTAACTTCTATGGGGAGTGAAGGATTTTAGCCCAATGAACGACACGTTTCTATAGTTGCAGAGGTTGAGGTAGCCGCCGTGTGTGAGGGTGAGTAAAATGAGTAATTGTGATCTGGGTGAACGGAGGAGGATAAAAACCTAACTGATCCCTGAGAAGTGCAGTAAGTTTTCTTACTGAAATTGCTCCAGGCTACCTAATTTGAACTGTATACTGTCCTATTAGCATCTCTGCATGCTAATAAAATGTCACTTAAAATAAGAGAAAAAGAATAAAAGAGGACTTTAAAGTGTTACCCACGCTGATACTGCACCGCCTTCCGTGAAGAAGCAAGACTCAGAAGTATTTCCCAGGGGCCTGGAGCAGAACCCACTCGGCGTCACAGGCAAGCGGTCCCTGGTCCCCAGAAGTTAGACATCAAAGCACACTCTCCGGGGCTAATGCCTCAACTGTGAGAGCTGCAAAACTAAGCTCACCCACTTTATGTGATAAATCCCCCTACACATATTAAATGATAAATTCCTCTTTTGCCCAAGGGTTTTCTTAAAGTACCTGTGTCTCAACTAGGTGTGCAAACAGGTGCTTCAGAGTACTATTGTTTCTGTCAATTCAAGAGGCTCCTTTATACAAGATCCAATCTGCAAAATTTATCTATTAAACATCCACTGTATGATCATCCGCAAAGCTTAAGATCTTCAATAAGTATAATGCCCAATGGACAAAGCAAACTGTTACCAACAGCTGAGGTGAGAGGATGTCGGTGAGACACACTCCTGGACTGTGTTTAAACCAATTTGGTGGATGGTTCTATTTGAATAAACCTGCAGCAAAATGAGGTAATCGACTTGAATCATGTTCTTAGAGTTTCGGAATTTAATTCCTTACATTAATTATTAATGCTCTTCATGCAGAAGAGCCCTCGCTTCGTTTGCTTTCTGTTCTTGGGACCCTTGTAACTCTGTGCCTCAAGTGGATTTCTGTATCCTTCAGGTTAAGGAGTTGGCAAACTGGGAAAAGCAGCACAAGGAAAAGTAACCTTGGTTTGGAAACCCCTGAAGTACAGGTGAGGTAACCATTTCCCCCTCACCTCCTTCAGGGCCCTCGATGGTCCAGAGGGGAAGGCAAGTGCTAGAGAGGCTGGGCATGAAGTCTACAGACAGCACAGTGGTGTAAGATGTGTGTGTGGGGGCGGGGGGGGGTAGAGGGGGGCTGAGTGCATCAGACTGAAAGCGGGACACCTGGATTCTACTCCAGCGCTACAGCCGACCACTGGGGAGCTGTGACCAATCGTGTCCAGTCTCCCTGGTTCTCAGTGTTTTCCTCCGTCAACTGTGGTTGAGGTGGCTGAGTTCCATAGTCTCTTGTGTTCCTACCAAAGGTACTCTGGAATCGACTCAGCACACACACACAGGCCACCTGGAACAGGGTAGGACTGCACAAGGTGGTGGCTTGTAGAGTCTGACACAAAGCCACATCCTGCAGGGGTCTGGGAGGGATAGGGAGCAAGCGAGCGGGGAGGGAGGCAGCATGGGGTCGAGGTCAGCACCCTCCTGGGCAGCAGTGCAGCTGGGCTGTGCACGAAGCCTTCACAGCTGGGTTTCTCCTGTGACGCCAGGCGGTCACGCAGAGCCCACGTGTCGGTAGCTCTCTGTGAACGTCCATTCACAACAGAGATGCAGGGTTCCACAGAATACAACGTTTTGCCCATCTTTTAGAAACTGATGTTTCTAAAACTGAGGACTTCTACCTTCGTAAGACTTGGAGTAAAATAAACATGATTTGGGTGTAACTCCTGGATAACAGAGATCAGACTAGTGATGACACACAGCCGGTCTTGCCTTAGTATAATCGGCTTCAACTCCCAATAAGTAGCTAATCCTATCTGTATTTTGGATAACATAGTGTCTTCATAATGAAGATGCATAAGGATAAGAGAGAAATGGCCTTCATTCACCCCATTTCCTTCGGCGTTCCCCATTCATGAATTCTTCTGTTCTAGAAAGCAATTCATCAAATACTCTCAGAAACGAGATGTAGCTCTCCTATTTTTAAGAGTTATTCTATAAAATGGAATTTTAAAACTAGACAGGTTTTGTTTGCTCACGTGACCCTCGCTTTTCCCGTGGTTAAGTGTGGTTGTCACACAGGAAGACCCGACGGGAAGGTGCCCCTTCAACATCTAACCCCACCCTGCAGCACAGACCGTCCTTGCAGAATGCCAGTCATGCCACAGATTTAGCTGCAGCTGGGGGCGGAATTGCAGGGGAAGCATTATATAATTAGACTGTGATTATTCTGGATTGTATAATAAAGAGCCTCGTTTTCCCGTTGGCAGCGAGTGACAGTCGCCTGCTTGCCTCTGGGGTGCAGGTAGAGGCTTTACAGGTCCTTGAATGCCCTAGGGAGGGGGGGTCATGGTCTGGGGTCACCGTGCCCCCACCCACTGGACCCAGATCTGGTTGACCCAGGGAGAGTCAAACCCTGGGCACACCCCACTCCTCCAAAAAAGGGGAGGGAACTGGAGACAGTTGAGGCAGAACAGCTAAAAAGCAACAGAAGCAGCAGACCACTCAGCCCTCCTCTGGCTTTCTCTGGTGGAGAACTCCCGTCTTCCCCCACCACACACATCACCCCTCAGGCCCCTCCCCACACAGGGGCCGGGGGTGGGGGGCCGCTCTCATGCTGGTTGCTCATGGCTGGGAAGAGAGGCTCTTTGCCAGCCAAGCTTCAGCTGGGTGGGGGTAAGGAGATGGATATGCTGGGCAAGCCCTCCTTCCGGGGCCACTGCCTGCAGAGGCAAGTCCATTCGCCAACTGCACACTGATTTGTACTGAGAACTTGAGCCTTTCCCCCAGGAAAGCGAAGAGGGAGAAGTCCTGGGACTTGCACAGGGTTAGGTCCTCAGAAATTTGCCAAGTTCTGAGTCTGATGAACCTTGAAGAGTTGTTAAGGCCCTGGCTCTATGCAGATTTCATTAGCACCATAACCAGAAGCCTTTTCTTTAAGCCCTCATGCTGATGGCTGGGGATGTTTAGTTCAAGCTGCCAGCTCTGCCTCCGCCCACTCACTCTGACGTCTGGCATGTGCCATCACACTTAATGTTGCCCAAGAAAACACAATTACTTAAAGTAAAAGGAGAAAATTACCTATCAAAGCAATAAGGTATCTGTTCATGTTTTTGTAGATATGACATACACAGTGAAAGATTTAAACCAAATGAAAACCCTCTTTTTCTAATTCTATTCATTGTGGAAACATTTTTTTAAAAAAGCACAAAGCCTTTTTACCCTCAATTAAAAACAGTAGGGACCTCCAGGAACAGAAACCATCAATGCACAATAATAAAAATCATAAATTTCTAAAGTAAAGGCAATGTGCTTTTCTTGAAAAATTCTAGGAAGTTCTCTGAAGCTAACAAATATGTGGATACGAAGAAACCAAGGGATTTAATTGTTTACATATTCAAAAATCTTTGGCAATATTCCTCACCAAAACCTGTTAAAATACCTAAATTTCCACTGAGATTCTTTTTAATTACTTTCCCACCTAAGAAAGTGACTGTTTCCTAAAGCTCTCTACCCACCAAAAAGCAGCTTCCCTGCCCAGGTGAGCCCCAGAAGGACCTGCCTCTGTGGGTTTACGCCAATACATTTTACTCCCAGGAGACTGAGAATGTCAGAGAAAAATTAAGTTTGAAAGGGTTTGGCCCCCTTTCAATGCAAATTCAGTCGTCAAGATAAAAAGAAGTATAAGCATTACAGTGAGATGCCTTCTCAGTTTTTGCTGAGCCTGAAACCCTCCTGACCTTGCAGTTGGCCAGAGGGGGAAGCCAGGCTGGGACTTCCTGGCATCCTAGGGCCTCGAGCCTCTGAGGACCATAGTTTGGGGAGAGCCTCCACAGCCCGCTCCTCTTTCTCTGCTTGAGGGGGGCAAGTTGAAAAAACAGGGTCCTGAGAGTATCCTGGAGTGGAGCCTAGGCCAGACCAGGCATGAGCTAGGCCTTGGCATTCCAAGATGCCCCAGGAGCAGAGCATCCCACAGCCCAGAGCTCTGGCCAGACCCTCAGACGACCCCATCCCAGAAAAGCACCCTACACCTGCTTAGAGACCTGAAATCAGCCTCTTCAAGATACTTCACGCTTGGAGGCCTCAAACGGGCTTCGTGAAATCGCTATCGCGGTTACATAGCAATTATTATGGTTAGCATAACACATACGGCCACTGGTTTGCCCCTATCCATAACAATCCATGGAGGAATTTACAAATGTTGAGAGTAGTAAGTAGAAAGTAATCCTGAAAGGCTACTCTTAATCTCGACCTAATTGTACAAAAATGAAACCGTACTTTTCCCAGGATATAATTTTAAAACTGCTGTAAATAGTGGGAAATACTGCCAAAATAAGAAATGCTTCTAATTTATTTCATAATGACTAAGGGCTCTCAGTTTAGATTCTGCTGCACTGGCTACCGTTACTTGTTTAACGGCTGTGCGCAGGACCCTGGCTCCCCTCCAGAGCTGCCACCCCGGGTCCCGTCTTGTTGGGCTACATACCGGAGTTTGAACTGCGAGCGAACTTCCCCATGTTCTATTTGAATCAGTTCATTATAGCAGGCAATGATGCTGCTGTTCTCCACAAATCTCTGAAAAGAAAGCAAATATAACAAGTAAGACAGATGCAATTACTTCTTTAAGAGTCAAATAAAGAAGCTTAACAGTTCCCCCTACCCAAGTTACTCAGTTACATAAGACAACTAGTGGATAAGATGAAATCAAACAGTTGTCAAGGTGTTTCAAAGGCTTGTTTAAACACAGCATGGGCTATTGTATGCTTAACCCCCTTTGTAACAAAGGTGGGAAAACTTCATGATGAATACTGACAGGAAAATAAAGGCAACCTTGCTAACTGCACAAACACCTGTGCTTTATATGGCACTCGTAAAAGTCTTCTGGGGGGTGGGGGGGGCAGGCAGAGGTCACTGGGGGAAAAGGAGGCATGTGTAATACTATATGTAATACTTTAAACAAGAAAGAATAAGAAAATAAAATAAAAGTCTTCGAAAAGCCAACACTGGACATGTTTGGTGCGTGCCACACTGCGAATGGTCTCGAGGGGAGAGGCCCTTCTTCGCTTCCTTCCTCATCTTCTGAGTGCCCACTGCACTCTCCTCCCTCGTCTCCCCTTCTCCCCGCCCCCAACACACACACACACACACACACACACACACACACACTTCCGCTCTCCAGTGTGATTGGCTTCTCCTTGGGGAGCACCTTTGAAGCCCCGACCCTCTGTGCCACGGGTCCCCACCGTTGCAGGTGGAAGCTGGGAGGGGCGAAGGAAAGGGGATTCTGCCATGAACACACACAGGAAGAAACACCTTCCCTTTCTTTGGTGAAGTTAAACATGCTGGGTTCAGGATGACCTTCTGGACGGGTCACGCTTGTCTATGTCTAATTATAACTGTAATGCACATCAGTTTTAGTGTGCAACGTACAGAAAACATAAAGGAAAAGCCCCAAGTCGCTGACAGTGTCACAAGCTCCAGCTGTTGTTAACTTGGCTCATTCCCCCGGGCTTTCAGTGTGCTGTGCGTTTGCGTGTTCCATGTGACATTTTCACTTTCCTCTCTAAGAAATGATTTTTTTTATATTTGACTTTTCTTTAGGCCTAAGAACTCCCATTGCAGTGACAAACAGCTTTCTGTAGGTGATGGTTTCTAAACACTGGAGCACTTTGTACATAATTGGTACTTAGTGTTTTGTGGACTAAAGGTAATGGAAGATGCCTTATCTTTAGGGGATTTTTCAAGAGTGTAGTGAACCCCTATCTTAAATGATTTGAGTGAATGAAAAGCAGTGGTCTTCCAACTTCAACATCCTTCCCCTTGGCCTTTGGTTAACAATTCGGGTTCTTGGCCCACTTGCAGGAACATGGGCCGGCTTCCTCAGCACAGGCCCTGCCGGCTTCAGGAGGCCCGGGCGCCGTGCTGCCGACGTGGGCTGTGCATGCGCAGGGCTGCAGGGAGGAGGAGGAGGCCTCACTGATTTCCCAAACTGACTTGACCACAGAAGCCTTTGCCAAGGAAGACCTGCTAAGAGCGTTCGACACACTAGGCCCACAGACAGTTTGAGAAACACTACGTTAGTGGGCCCAGCACGGAGCTGGCATTTTGACTGTGCAGCCAGTGTGAGCTCTGGCAAGCTATTTCAACTGCTTTCTCTTCTGCAAAAATGAAGACAATATCCAGCCTCTCATTTGCAGACGAGGATGAAATAAGTTGCCCGGAACGGAGCTGAACAAATACTAAATCTTAGCTGTCCATCTCTCCCCAGGAAGTCGCTCCAGGGAGGACTGTCTGACCGGCATGCCTAGCGCAGCATGCACATGTCAGTGCTCCAGGAATACTTGTTCAACGGACTGTGCACCATTTCAGAGAGAGAAAGAGGGATGCGAAGGCTGATACAGAAACAGCTGCACTCGCCCTTCGCGAAGGCACTGGTTTCGAACCGGCTCGGAGTGCACGGAGCAGCATGCAGCCGCCCCTCACGTGCAGCGAGAGGCTTCAGGGAGCTGCTGTGGAATATCCAGGGCACAGTTTGTTCCTGGATCCCCACGCAGGGACCCAGAGTCTGAAGCACTGGCCAATCGGCTAGCAACACAGGCTGTCTCACCAGATGAGTTCATACAATCAAAACAACTCAGAGATGGGAAACCACCTCACGGAAGGCAGAATCGCTGGCATAGTTGGATGGGTGGTTGGGTAGAGTGTTGCCAAAGACAAGGTTTTGCCCAAAAAAGGAGGGCAGCCACCAGGAGAGTAATCTCAACTGATCTTGTTTCACAGGAACTCAGGCGGGAAAGCGTTGGTAGGTGCAATGTGCTTCCCTGGGAAAGTGCCCCAGCTCTGTGGGGGCACCCTGACCTAGCCGGCAAAGGCCTCGATCAGACCAGCACGAAAGAACACAGGTGTCCCTGACAGGTCTCGTGTTTCATGCTCCCACTATGGGTTTTATTCAACAAGGCTGACGGCAGAAAGCATCGCCATATCCGGACAGAGGGCAACGAAACCTTCTAGAGCAGCACAGACAGGTTATAAAGCACGTGAAGAAGGAACCACAAAACGTTTCCCTCCTAAATTTACTTAATCACGTTACCCAAAGAGGGCCCCTTGCTTTCCCCAAGCTCTCCTTTGAGTAGATGTGCAATTCCCAGCATCACTCCAAATGACAATCTACACCAGTCACAGGCAGGAACACTGAACTGAAAGCGAAATCCCAAAAGGACATCCGACAGCAGCTACGGGGGGCCTGGAGGATGTCACCCACAGTGTGTCACCGCCATCCCAGGGGGTGAGGAGAACCTGCGTGCTCACACTCCAAGAGGTCCCGCCTCAGACGTCAAGGGCCATGTTGGGCTGGGGTGCAGTGGGTGTTCAACCTTAAATCCACTGCACCCCTATGGGACCTGTGGGTGATTTTAGGTTATTTCTCAGAAAATGATCATTGTAAGTGAAGAAAAGAAGTCTCAGGCTTCTCTACCAACATTCCTTTTGCAGAACTCAGAAGCACTGTTCTGCACTCCCACTAAGATACAGCGTGGAGAACAGCTTTCACACCAAATGCCGGCCTCTGAGACGTGACGAAAGCTAGGTGAGTGATACCGCTAACGAGCAGCACTCATTCCCCGGACACGTGTGGACCACTGCGCTACCTGACTATTTCACAGAGCACTTGGCTCCACTCCGACGCAGGAAACAACCAAAGCACAAAACTGCTGCACACGGTGATTTCTCAGTTTCTGCTTCTCTGTGGTCTACCACAAAGACAGGATTGTTTTTTAAACTAGGGGTTGCAAGGTACCATTCCTTAAAGCACCCAAAGGAATTTTCATAGCTCACAGGCCCGGGCAATGTCCTGTCTTTGAAGGAAAGGATGCATGGCTCCATCCATCTGAGATTCCGATTACTCCCATCAAGAGACCTGGAGATGCCAGGGAAGCCTGGGTTTAGTTTGTTGGTAAGTCTCCTTGCAGTAATCAATCTTCATTATTAAGTTGAATAGCAGTTTGATTCATGTAGTCACTCAAATAACTTAGGATTTAAACCGGGAGTTCACAGGATACGGTGGCCGTCCTGGGCCTGGCCCTGGGCATACGCTCTGACCAGCCCTGACCAACACGAGGCCTGAGTGCCCACTCAGTGGACTCACCTACACATAATCACATGCACACAATGAATCTAGCCAACTGGACTAAACGAGAGAACCTTGGGACGACAGGATTGTGACCTAAGATGTGTTTTTATGTCATTACGTATCAGTCGCTAAGATATATGAAGTTATGAGAGAAAAAGGAAAAGACGTCTGACTAGCAGTTGCCCGTTATCATCCCATGAGAACAGTTCCTCCCTCCCTCCCTCCCCCCCTCCCTCCCTCCCCCCTCCCTCCCTCCCCACTTCCCTCCCTCCCCCCTTCCCTCCCTCCCCCCTTCTCCCCATCCTTCCCTCCCTCCCTCCCCCCTTCCCCCCCTCCCTTCCTCCCCCCCTCCCTCCCTCCCTCCCCCCTTCCCCCCCTCCCTCCCTCCCCGGCCCTGGGGCTTAGGGTCATGCATGGATGTTGGCCTGTGTGGTGCTGGGAGAGTTAGGATTAGGAGAAGTGCCTGCACCAGAGGGAGGTGCTGGCCAGCGGCTACGTACCCTGCTGAAGCCTGCGTGCAGAAGAGGGAGGACTGAGGCCTCTTCATGGTTGCCCGATCTGCAGAAAAGCAGAAAAGGTGGTCACTCAACAGATACAAACCAGGGCTCCTCACACCGAAACATGGAGAGAGAGCAATGAGGCGAGCGTGGCGCTGGCTCTCACAGTGACTTCCTGGCCAGCATGTGCCCACGGGTACACCTGCCTTCAAGGACCCTGACTCCCACACCTGACATTCAGATGTAAAAAGAACAAAATGGTAGAGAGAAAACTCCAGCCGTGTGCCTGAGAGCATGGCTGCAGGTGCACGCGAGTGGCTGTCCCCCACTCTACGCTGCCGCTGGAATTAGAGCAAGTGCACGGGGCAGTCCCACCAAGGGAGGGACAAGTAGGGGCAATGCTCATCCCAGAGACTACTGTCCTCTTTGCCGTCCCCAACCCTTCTAAAAGCACAACTCCCACCCCCCAAGACCTCGCTGGGTCCAACTCTCAACTCCAGGAAGGCAATGGGCATTCTAAGCTGCCGCAGCCAATAACCAAATGGGCAAGATGTGTCATCAGGAATGCCGAGTTAGAAAGGAAGAAGAGAAAACAAAAAAACTGATTACTGCCACTCATTTCATGGGAAGGTTTCCTATTCTGAGTCTACAGTGGGGTCTCAGAACTTCAGTTTGAGTACAAGGTGTGGGTTATCACAAGACATGCAGGGCTGGCACCATCGTGACAGAGAAAAGGTTTCCGAGACAGCCAGCAAGTAACGTGGAGAATACACCTTGGAAAACAGGGGAGGAGAATGGAATAGAGGGGACTGGGTGGAGGAGCAGATAGAACACAGGAAAGGAAACCCCAGTGCTTATCTGGGGCGTTACTTGGAGCTGAGCCCGCCCTGCGGGAAGGGGCCGCCTTCCCTAGCTCCTTCTCTTGGAACTCGGGGTTCTCCTTGGCGGACTGATAAATCAGGACGGGCACAAAATGGTCTCTAAAGGTATTAACAATGTTCTAAGTCATATGCTGAGCGGGACAAACTCAGAACTGGGGAAACGCTGTGGGGCCCGGTGCCCATGTGGTGGCCATGCCCAGGACCTCAGGGTCCCCACAGATAAAACACGAGCCAAAGGACGTCTGCATATCTTCGCTCTCCTCCTCCTCCTCGTTCACCAGCGTGGCGAGTGGTGAGGAACCACTGGGGACAGTTTCTGCACTTCCCTTGCCCCACAGCCCGTGGCAGGTCTCACAGTGAAAAGACACAGCTCTGAACAAGAGACACGAGGAGCCCCAGGTCAGTAGAAGTCTTTGGTTAGGCCAAAACTTTGAAGCCAGGACATGGCTCTGGAGTGGAGTATTGCAGCTCTCCCCTGCCCCGGGCTGGCCTGGGGGAGGCCTACACCCTCCGAGTTGCTGGCTTGTCAGCTCCTTCCTTGCAGAATCCGTGCCATTTGCCACATGGGTCCCAGTCCAGAGATCCTGGGCCCTAATTAAGGTTTTATTCTCTCCGAAGCTAATGATGGCCATTACTTGACTATAAGATTTGATACTTGCAAAGACTCCAACCACTGTGGCTTGTACAAACAACTGTTCCCTTCTAGATCTTTCATTCTAAGTGCTGGCCATTTCAGACAAGGAACCCAGCAGAGCCGTTTCTCATCCCACAATCTCGTACCTACAGCTTAATTCCTCTTTCCTGCCTTCCAGCATTGGCACGCATCCTAGTCCTGCTCCTAGCCACAGAACTGCCCCAAAACATAAACTGCACATCCCTTTTCTTGCAATGGATTTAGTGCCTTTTTGTTCTCACGCTACCATTTGTTTCCTCTTAAGTGAAAAACAAGCATTCTTTTTTCTCTCCCATCTCTTTTCCTTAAAGAAAAAAAAAAAAAGATAAGCTGGAATCATGTTCTTTCCAGATCTCCTCCTTCACACATTTTGCATTCATTTCCGGCATAGAATGAAGTAACCATTTTTTCCTGAGATGTGTATGTTGCAGCAGCAATTCGATATGATCGGGAGAAGACCTCAATATTTCCAGAAACTTGCAAAACAAAGAAAGCTCCCAAAGCAAGATGGAAGGTTGTGCTGTGGGGCCAAGGACATGCCCATTGTTTGTCCAGCTCCGAGACCGGATGACATCAGACAAATGTCTCGGCAAGAACGGGACGCTTTCCAGCAGGGGTGGGAGGGGAGCTTACGCTTGTGAAACCACCGCGAGGATCACCGTGTGCTCCGCGAGATTCGTGGCCCGGATCGACCTGCAACAAGAAGGTGCCAAGTCAAACCAGGTGACCTCGGCTTCGCTCCATTAAATCCATGTGAAGCCGCTTCACACTGAAGACGGCACATCGAATCTTTCCCTAAAGAACAGCGATGCTGTGCACCTGAAACTAGCATGATATTGAATGTCAACTGTAACTGAAAAATGCTGTAACAAAGCCCACGTGAATGCCAGATGTTAGTAAGGGAAACTGGAGGTAGGGGGTATAGAGGAGCTGTAGGAACAGTCTGTACCCTGCACCATTTTCCTGTAAACCTGAAACTTCTTTAATAAACAGAGTCTATTAAACTAAAAAAACAAGAAACAGAAAAAGTCCATGTGAAAGACAACAAAGAAAGATGTCCTTGTGGATCTTTGTGTTATTAAAAAAAATTATTTTTTAACTCCCAGGCAATTATCCAATAGGTCAGATCTGCCAATTTTCCACTTCAAAAACCGTCAAATCCCACTTAAATTCCATGTTTTCTGACTGAAATTCCACTCTGCAAAAAAACAAAAAACTGGCAGTCCTACAATTCTCTAGTTATCAGTTTGTACTTGGGGAGGTAATTGGTTTGGATCTTTTTTCTTTTAAAATAGTAGTTCAGAAAAATGAAAGTACTTGCTGACAGCTGGCTATACAAATGCAGACTAAAATGTATTAAATGGTACACAGGCCCACCCCAATTTCCCAGTTGTACCCTTGTTTGTCCTCCAATACTTTAAACGACTGGGGCTGAGAAATGTTGCAACATGGCAACTGTCACCACCTGCATATAGTTAGTTTATTCCCTAGGAACGCAACGGGATTAAAACACGTACGGATGTAGACTTTAGAGGTCGGAGAGTCTTCTTAGGAAATGTGTTTTGAATGGTACAGCTCAGATTCTGTGTCATTCTGGTCAGGGGTCATGAAATGGGTGAACTTTTTTTTTTATCCTCACCCAAGGATATATTTTCCATTGATTTTTTTAGAGAGAATGTGTGAGAGAGAGGTGGGGGGGGGGGGGTAATCAACGTGAGAGAGACACATCAATTGGGTGCCGGGATGGAACCAACAACCTTAACAGAGAATCTACACACCCTTAACCAGAAATTGTACCCGAGACCCTTCGGTCCAAGGGCCAACACTCTAACCACTGAGCCAAACCGACCAGGGCTGGGTGAGCTGTTAATATAGCACCACCTACTCAAATCTTGGTATAAATACGAATGCTTGCTCTGACCCATCCCCTTGCTCTGGCCTCTGGTTATTTTAATACGGCTCAAAAGAGAGCTACCACCTCCAAGAACAGAAGCGTCAGGGCTGCTCCCGATAATCTGTGAAACCACATGGATTAGTTTTCTTTCTAGCCGCTGGGATTTCAGGTCCTCTCCATGTTAACATGTCTGCACTACCGCTCTCCCAGGGAGAGCCAGCTCATACTGCTTGATCCTCTTCAACTCCAGAATTTCCTAACCTTTTTCAGACATGTACCTTCCCCGCTTCCTACTCCTTGAGGCCTCCCTCTGTGAGGGTAGAAGGCTTGAGAAAATGACCAGCTGCTGTCTTCCCGGAAGTGCGGGCTCCCCGGTGCATAAATAGCTGAATGGCAAATCCCTTTGCAGACAGTGTCTGAACTCCCTGTGAGGCAGGAGGAATAAGTCACCAACAGCCTCCAATGTGAGCACAGGCGACTTCCCACGCAGCACACAGGACAGGCCTGGTGAAGTGAAGCTGCCCATATTCTCTACCTAGTAGCCCATTGAATTCTCAGCAGAAATACCAGTTAGCACCTAATGAAAAAAAATTGCACAGTGAGGTGAGCTCTCATCTCAGGAAACACCAAGCACTTCTCACCTTCCTTCAGCCTCTTCCTCCCCAATGAGGCATCAAGAGTACCTTCTGGGCTACATTCAAAGTGGTGGGCCATAGGCAAGAGGCTCAAACTCTGCTATGAACATAACCGGACTGGAGCACACACGCGCTTAGCTTCTTTGAGACTGGCTTCCGGTTTGGGGGTTGCTTCCAGCTGCTTCCCTCTTCCCTCTCAGTCCTCCAGAGGAGCTGGTGTGGTCAGAGGCACCTGGACCTCTTCCGGGTTGAGAGGACTAAGGGGGAGCCCGGGGACTGACAGGGCAGGGTTCCAAGGAAGTGTGTTAAGATCCAGTCTAGCTCAAAAGCCAGGGATCCTGGACCACAGATGACAATAGAGTGCACATTCGCTGGGAGCGTGTCCCCAGCTCATCTTAGGGACCACGCCCTGGCAGTCAGGCAGCCAGGAATCGGGGCGCCCTCAACGTGAAGTGACAGTGGGAAGCACACCAGCAGGCGTGCACCGGCTTCTGCACTGCACAGACTCCCATTGCTTTTCTGTGCTGCCAAGACAGACGTACACTTGTTAGGAAACAGAACTCCATGTCTTTATATTCCAGGAAGATTGTAATGCTATTCTGCTAAAATGGGTCTTTGCCTGAATTAAAAGAATTCTTTCTATTAATTCCTTCTTTTTACACCAGGAGCTCATCTTAAATCAATCTATGTATGCACAAAGGACTATTGTATCTACCACAAAATCAGTCAAGACAAGGGAAAGAAGACATACTTAATTACCAAGGACCCAATTCTATCCTAAAAATCATTTAAAAAGGAGAAATGTTCCTAATCACTAAAAATATCCTCCAAATATTTTATGATACATTTTATTTATTAATAGGCAAATATTCCTATGCAGGAAGATAAAATTACTTGAGACCAATAAGACATTTTAAAATAGGTTCCTTAAGAAAAATTCTTTGGGAAACGGAAAACTGTCAGAGACTAGCAAAGCGATGCCTGTGATGAGAAGTTTCCCCTCATTTCTCGGCAGGGTACCCATGGCTCTAAGAAGCCATGCCCCTACCTTTTACGCCATTTACTATTTTCAAGAAAATTCCAGCTCCATATGTAACTGGAGCCCGCCCTGGCCTAGCATTTAATTAGTGACCTTTTCCTGTCTCGCTTCAAAGCATTCCACTTCTGCTAAAGGGATCGGTTCATCCAGCGCGAACTCTGAGGGCTGCGTTTATTTATGATCAGGCATGCGTTTCCTCCCCGGAGCAAGCGTTTCTGTAAACAAGTGGGGGTGTGGGTCCCTGGAAGATTTTCTCCAGCTGCAAAGTGGCTGCCTTCGCCCTGTGACTGCTGTATGATCCACCCATCTGTGTCAGGCAGGGAAAAATGTATATTTCACACATTTCTGATGCTCATTTTGGTGCAGAATAATTAAGATTAAAGTATCTGGTTTACATCCAAACCATATCTGTATAATAAGAACTGTGTGAATTTTAATGTTGTTTTTTTTGTGTGCAACATGAGCAAAAACTCAGGGGGGAAAATCCTGCAGTTTTCAGTAGCAACCAGCTCACACCTCTAAATACATCGGAACTCAAGTGCAAAAAAAAAAAAAAGAAAAGGTGTGATAAATCTATAGGCGGAGCGACAGCTTTTATCACAGAAAGCTGAATATACTGCTTAGGAACATCAACACATATTTTAGAAATATATGAGATGGAACTAAAGACACCTCCAAATGAACTCATTTCAGGCTAAGTGGACATCGACTAAGCATATGAGATTAAGGAAGGTACCTGCACACAGCCTCCGCATCAAAGTGCCGAGCCTGTCTGTGATCAATCACAATAATTTCATGATGTTTATCCAGGAAGCACTCAAGGGCTGACTCTGGCGTCCGGGCGATATTGCATCTGTAACCGGCTCTGTCACAGGCCCACCAGAATCCATCACTCTGACTGTCCTCCTTGGCAAAGATCAGCAAAACCTGGAACACACAGATAAGAGCACCTTAACAGCAGTCATCATCCTTAGAGACGGCATTAAAAACAGGCCTCTGGAGGGAAGCTGCGCGGGTTCAAATCCCAGCTCCTCCAACAGCTTCCAGTGTGTCTTTGAACAAGCATTTCCTCTCTGGGGCCCACCGTTTCTCCTCGGTCAGGTGTGAGAACAGCAGGGCCACCCAGGCCTGTTGTGAGACTTGAATGAGCACAGAACAGGTGCTCAATCACGCTGGTGGTTACTTACTTTTAATTTCCCAAGAGGCTTTGTCTTTAAACAGATCAAGTAGTGAAATTATTAACAGGATAATTAGCACAGGTTAGACCCTGGCTCACATCTACACCTCTTTGGCTCTGGTGCAGGTGGTGTTTGCCTCATGGTACCTGGAGGCCACCTCTCTGAACTTGGGACTTAAATCCATATAAAGATACAAGAAAGGAAAGGGACTCAAAACCATGAAAGTGATGGAGGTGATGGAGCCAAATTGGGCACAGTCCCACCAATGAAAAGAAGGTGGCAGTACTGCACACCATCTTCCCCTCCTCCTCCCCAGGCTCCCGGACCCAGATTCTCCTGCTGCCTGCCAGAAGCCAGAGACAGCCTTGCCATCACCTGAACGTGTTCACTTGTTTATTTGCTTACAGTCTATCTTCTCCACTAGAATTGAGCTTCGGGTCAGCAAAGACCTACCTAATCTCCTTCCCTGCTGTACCCCCGTGCCGGCAATGGGCTGGCACGTACTACTAGCTGTTTGATGCGTGAAAGGATAACTACTTGTAGGGGTTTCTGCAAAATGCAAGAGGCATTTACTATTAGTAGGAATAAGACTACATCACAACAACAGGTCCAATTAAAAAAACCACATATAGTGCCATTTGCCAACCACACCCAAGGACAGATGAAGTTAAGAGACTAAATTTCATTTTGGTACAACAGCATAAAACTGATGAATGTTCTATTGAGATACACCCCTAAGACCTAAATGTCTAGCCTTTAAAACCCCTCAAAACGAAGGTCGTGCCCTGGCCGGAGTAGTTAAGTTGGTTGGGCATAGTCCCATGCACCAAAAGGTTGCTGGTTTGATTCCTGGTCAGGGCACATGCCCAGGTTGCAGGTTAGACTCCTGGTAGGGGGCATGCAGGAGGCAGCTGATTAAGGTTCTGCTCTCACATTTGTGATTCTCTTTCTTTCTCCCTATCCCCCCTGCCCTTCTCTCTAAAAATCAATAATAAATAAATAAAAGAACCTAGTGTGTGCTCTTGCTCCCTGGAACATGCCCACCCCTTCCCCTCCCTCTCTCCTTCCCCCACAGCCATGCATCTCCTAAACTCTAAGGGACCCCACCAGACTTGCAACCAGGGCAGCAGCAGTTCATCCAGGGCAACTTCCAGACCTTTCCCCAAGATTCCCTTTTCTCTGACTTCTTAGTGAGCCAAAGCTGCCCAGCCCAGGCTCATTTCCCCACCTAGTCCCTCTCTTGTTATCCTAGGCTCTTCCTTGTTTCACTGTCCCCAGCTTTAATAAACATCCTCTAAAATACAAAAAAAGAAAAGAAAAACATAATAACCTCATGATATGGCACTTATTATTCTTCAGTATCCACTTCTGGCTTAAACAATGAGGAACAGAAGGGTAGTTTCTTAACTTGAAGACCCTTTAAGGCAATAGCCAATATCATTCTTTATGATGAAATATTGAGTATGTTTCACTTAAAATCAGAAAAAGAAATACTGTCCTACCATTACAACTATATCTTAAACATGTTTTGTTAATTGAAAATTGGCAATATATAAAAAACAGAAACAATAGTATAACAAATCTCCTGTACCCATCACCCAGCTTCAGCGACAACCAGCTCCTGGCCTGGCCTGTCTGGTTGTATCTCTGCCCGACCCACTTTCCCAACTCTCATTTTACTTTGCAAATCTCGCACATCATATCACTTCATCCATATGCATCTGTTGAACACAAAGACTCTTTTCAAAAACAAAAAAGAAAAAACAGAGAACGCATGAACATGGACAATGGTGTGGTGATTGCAAGGGGTGGGTGGAGGTGGAAGAGGGCATAGAGGGTGATGGAAAGAAATATAATTAAAATTTTAAAAACCCACAATACCATTTCATACCTAAACCTCTCCAATAATTCCTTACCACCATTAAATACCTGACTGTATCATCAATGTCATTAGTTTTACATTGAATCACTTCCTTTTCAGCATGATTTTGACATTTCCTTCTTAGCATGTGGCTTGAAATCACAAGACAGCCACACTTATTAAGGGCCCTCTCTGGGCAAGCCACACTTATTAAGGGCCCTCTCTGGGCAAGGGTAGTCCCTCCTCAGTCCAGGGTGTTCCTGAAAACCTTCGGCCACTGAGCAAGAGAAGTGAAGGGCACAGCCTTGTGGATTTTGATAGTGAAAAGAAACCCTTCACATGAAGTTACAGTGGGGAAACCCTTCACATGAAGTTACAGTGGGGCCTTGACTTACGAGTTGTATTACCAAGGGAGCTGCAATGAACAACACCGGGTAGAATTTACTTGTGGAGCTGTGCTATTAACATGAGAAACTCGATATGCAGAGCCTAAAAGTCAGAAATGGTGACAAAACTTCTCGTCTCTCAGTGGTCTGGCTGATTTATGGATTGCTAAGCAAGAAACCCAGTACTTTACGCTTCCTTTATACCACTGTGCCTCAGTATTTAATCCAATAAGAACACAACTGCATTCCCATGTTGGGCATCATTACAGGTATTAAAATCACATGTCTTATGTGTCCTTAAAGAACTGGATAGTTCCACTTTCAGAACAATAATGTCATCATTCAGCGAATATTTCCCGAGTGCCTACTCTGTGTCAGACACTGTTTTTAATTGCTTAGAGTACGCCCATGAATGAAATAAAGACCCCTTTCGGTGTAGTGGTGGAGGGACAAGCAATAAACAATAGGCACAATAAGTGAGCAAATGGTATGGATTATTGAAAGTGATAAGCGGTGTGTAAAATCTGTGGAGCAGGGTGAGGGGTCAAGGGTGGCCTGTTGGTGGGAATGCAGACTGGTGCAGCCACTGTGGAGGACAGTACGGAGTTTCCTCAAAAAGACTACAATGGAACTCCCATTTGACCCAGTGATCCCACCTCTAGGAATATATCCCAAGAAACCAGAAGCAACAATCAGAAAGGATATATGCATCCCTATGTTCATAGCGGCACAATTCACCATAGCTAAGATCTGGAAACAGCCTAAATGCCCATCAGCAGATGAATGGATTAAAAACCTGTGGTACATCTACATGATGGAATACTATGCTGTTGTAAAAAAGAAGGAATTCTTAGCATTTGCAACAGCATGGATGGACCTGGAAAGCATTATGCTAAGCGAAATAAGCCAATCAGAGAAAGCTAAGTATCACATGATCTCACTCATTTATGGAATATAATGAACAACATAAACTGATGAACAAAAACAGATCCAGAGACAGAGAAACATCTATCAGACCATCAAACCTCAGAGGGAAGGTAGGGGAGGGTGGGGTAAGGGGGAGAGATCAACCAAAGGACTTGTATGCATGCATATAAGCCTAACCAATGGACACAGACACCAGGGGGGTGAGGGCATGAGTGGGGGACAATGGGGTGATAAGGACACACATGTAATACCTTAATCAATAAAGAAAAAATTTTTTAAAAAAAGAGTGGCTTGTTGCTGGCAGGATTAGTAGGTGGTTAGGGCAGGTTTCACTAAGAAAGCAACAGACAAGCAAAAGCCTGAAGGAAATAGAAAAGTTAACCAAGTTGATGTCGGAAGGAAAGCATTCCAAGCTGAGGGAACAGTTCCATGGGCCCAACAGTGGGAAGCGCGCCTGCTGTGCTCAGGGAACTGCAGGGAACCAGCACGACAGAGGGGCGGGTGCGAGGCTGGAGAGTGGGAAAGAGTCAAGTTCACAGCCCAGGGCTAGATCCTGGTAAGGCCTTATGGGTCATTTTTGGAACTTAATCTGGATTTCACATGGAAACTTACAAGACTGATTGAAAGTGGGGAGTTGCATTTTTCATGCCTTGTTGTTTTCTGTATTTCTGATGCTTTGATGTCCAGAGCCTGGCTGACCCTGGCCGGCTAGGAATGCACTTTCCATGCGCAAACCAATCAGAGCCCATACCCACCACCTCTTTTACCCTAACACTCTGCACCATGATGACTCCAGGAGCAGGTACCAGACAGCCAGGGGCCACCCTTAGGCCCCAGACGGCCCTGAAATGACTCAAACTAGCCAAACCTGCTTACCCTGCTTCACCATTCCTTCCCACAGAAACCACAATAAAGGCTCTTGCCTGCATTTCCCCCTCGCGCTCTCCGCCTCCTGACCGCCTCCTGGCCAACCCTGCCTCTTGCCGCTGTGGTCCTGCTTGCTGTGGTGTGCCCCCTCCGCCTGGCAACTGTGACTTTTCAATAATTCAACTCCTGCGCAAAATGAAAATCTGTTCTATGCCTTAGTGAATGACAAACTCCCAAGTTCGGATCAGCTTCCAACATTTTACCCTCTGTATTTCTAATGTCATAAAATATCCCGCGCTCCTTTAATGAATGTGCAGTTTTTTGCTGGCATCACTTCCTGTGACATTTCATCCTTTTGGTCACAACCATTGTCTTTATTTCAGTAAACTTACTTTGACTAACTTCCTCCAGGGAGCTGTCTAGAATCTCTCAAAGGCAGCAGGATCAACATGGCCACACGGGGCGATGTCTCCTCTAATCCCATTTACATTCAATTCAGAAATTCACTTCTGCCATGATCACTTCTCATTTCTTTGCTGCACTTTCCTGTTTGTTGGCTAATTCCCTCTTTCAACGATCTATTTCTGTGCAATGCCGTGGGTATGGTCATGGAGACATGGTGGCAACACTGCACATCTGCTGTCTGCTTGAACTGAGTTAGCAGCTGGGCAGCGACCAATCATAGAGATGCTGAAGGAAGTGATGTGA